AAGTCGGTGGGAGACAGGGAAAAGCGGGAGCCCCACCCCTTCCGAGTTGGTGGGATGGGAGCCCCCTGGGTGGGAACTCCCTGGGTGCAGCCGCTGCTGCCCTGCTGCAGCTTCGGACCCAGGCATCTCTGAACTCTTGGGCCTAGGAAGGCCCCTGCCCCTCGCAGGCTCAGAATTGTCTACTCTCGCTACCTGGCTTCTCCCCTGTCGGTGCCTACTCCAATTTCAGAGCAAAGTTGGGGACCAGCCCGGGAGCTGTCACAGTCCAGCTGGTTGTGCACATGCTCAGGGCAGTGCTGACACGCCAACCCCCTTGCCACTTTGGCCCCCTCCAGACTTTGGGCACTGACAAGCATGGGAAGGAGGCTGAGGGGTATGCTGAGGACAGCCTAGTGCTGGCCTGAGGGCACTCCTTAGCAAGAATAGCCTGGGCACCATGAACAGCAGCAGGAGGCAGACAGGCTCCTGGGCAGAAGGAAGCTGGTCCACAGTGAAGACCCACCTTCAAGCCAGGGAAAGCCTGAAGTCTGGGGGCTGGGTCGCCAGTCCTGGAAACCGCAAGGGCAACTTGTGGTGCTTTTCCCTGGGCCCACCCATGGCTGCCCATGGACCAACCAGCATGCACTTCCTCCCCTATGAGGCCCATAAAAACCCCTAGACTCAGCCAGACCTGGGAGGAGGGATCACAGGGAGATAATGGGACCACTTGCCTGCAGAAAGGAACCACCCATTCCAGGACCTCCTCTCTGCTGAGAGCTGAACACTCAATGGGAGGACCTGCCTACAGATAGGAGCTACCCACTGTGGGTCCCCTCTAAGCTATTATATCACTCAACAAAGTTCCCCTTTGTCTTGCTCATCCTATACTTGTCTGTGTACCTCATTCCTTCTGGATGCAGGACAAGAACTCAGGACTCGCCGAATGGCAGGGCCAAAACAGCTGTAATACAAATAGAGCTGAAATATGCCCCTTGCTCACCACATTGTGGGTGACAAGGAGAGAAGAGAGAAGGGGAAAACTTGAGAGAAGGAGAGAAGAGCTGCGGCCCTTCAGAGAGACTAGACCTGAGAGCTCCCCAAGCCTGAGCTGTGACTCCCACTTTGGGGCCTGATGGCTCCCAGAGTCTCCAAGCTTCTGGGTACCACTGCATTCCCTTGTGCCAGCTGTGGAAGCTGCTTGTGGTGCGCCTGGTCCTGATGCAGCCTCACAGTGAGCGTGTTGGCCACCCTGCTGCAGCAGCTGGCATGCCTGACTGTGTGCAGTGGCCGGACCCTATGCTCGCTTGCTCACACACCCCTCACCACTCTGCTCCAGTCTCTTTGGAGGTATGGGATCCAGGCTGGTAGCTTGAGCCAAGTGTAGCCTACCAGGCCAAGTGGGCCCAGCAGGCCCAAGCAAAGCTCACGCAAAGGCGCCACTGGTCACAGAGGTTTCTAGCTAGTAAAGCAACACCTCCCAGGATCCTGTAACAACAGCCGAGGGGTTAAGACCACAGACATTGGAGTAAGATACTGTGGGGTTGAATGGTAGTTTCTACTGCTTATTAATAACTTCCTTAACTTCTCTGTACTACAGTGTCTTCATCTATAAAACAGATTTACTCAGATTATCCACCTCATCGAAAAAAAATGAATATGTGTCACCCACCTCATCAGAGTATTTTGAGAATCAAATTTAACAAATGTAAATCATTTAAAAAATGTTAAGATATAGTAAATGCTCAGCAAATGTTACCTATTCTTACTCTTTTGATATTTCATTTTCCAACTTCTCTTGGCTAAGGAAGATAGAATAATTTTTAAAGAATCTGCTTCTATTGGGCTTATGCAACATGTGAATCAGTCAACCAGTAATCTTATAAAGCAATAATCACAACTGATGATAGAAGCATGAGCTCAAAATATTAGCAAGACTAGACTTCTGCTTCTCGTCATTATGGGGAATCAGAGATCAGATTTACCCTTGCACCTTAAAAACAAAAAAAATTAGATGAAATATATGAAACAATAGTTTGTAGACACTGGACCAAAGGGAAACATGCAAAGTAAGCCCTAAGACTGCCCTAGCTTACGACCTGAAGAACACGTCTAGGAAGCAGCAAAGGGGGTACTCAAAAAGAGTCCAGCAGTCTCCCTGAGTTGAGAAGACAGAGTTGAGAACTTGCGGAGGCTAAGATGGCTAGAATTTTCAAGGCAGGGTACCAGAGTAGACAGAGATATACAGAGGGGAACTCTGGAGATCTGCAGGGGCTTCCTCTGAGTTTTTAGCTGAATATCTATCAGCATATGTGGGTAAGGAAACGATCCAAGAAAATGAGTAGGTACCCTCTTCAGAGCTCACAAAGGACGCAGAATTGTTCATGTTCCCATCAGCCTGAGTGGAAAAAACTCACAATACATGGGCATCAAATAGAGTACTCAAAGTATTGCCCTAGTAGTAAGAAAAAATTAGCCTCATGTGCTGCCCTGGTCTCACCAAACAAAGCCTAAAGTAATCCTCCAAAGGATCAAACAATTTCTAAATAACTGCATCCCAGAGTCTCAAGAATGTTTAAAGGAATATAAAAATATCCAGCAAACAAGCTAAAATAATCTTCTCATATCAATGAACTGGCACTTTGCATGGCATGGATACAAAAGAAAAATGGAATGAAGCACTAATACAGTGACCAAACATGTGAGCAAGTCTACGGAAAAACAAAAACAAAAACCATGAAATTTAACAAGTTTCCATGAAATTTAACAAGCTCCAAAGCTGTAAGACCAGTATTGCTCCAGGTTGTGTGTTCTGAGACCACAGTCATCAAGAGATATTCAAAACCATGTGCCAAGACTGGGTACGTCTTGGGGGCTACCCAACTTAAAATCTTTCTCAGCCTCATACGCCAAGCGCTAGTACGTCTAGAAGAGGTGCCTTCTGAGAGAAGTTAGCCTCTAACATTGTCCTATGGCAGTCTATCACTGTCCCAAACTGCCTGTGGAATTTAAGCTCCTGTATCAAATAATGTCACTTAAGTCTGCGTGATACATCGTTCTTCACTTAAACTTTTAGTTTTTCAGGTTACTATTCTCTAACAAGAAGCTTAACAAATACCTACTGATCAGTCACACTTTCCTTTTTTAACACTTTTTTTTTCAATTGGCTTCTAAGATACTTCTCCTGGTCCTTGCTCCTGAATGAATAGCTAATTCATTTTAGTCTAATTCCTCACTATCGCCCCAACCTCTAAAACTTGCCCCAGAGCTCAATCCTTGGATATCTCTTCCTTCTCTATCAATTCCACCTTTAAAATACATCCCAAAATCTGACCACTTCTTATCATCTCAATCACCATGGGTTCAAATAACCATTGTCTCTTACCTGGTGGCCTTCTAACTATAACCAGAGTAGGTTTTTTTGTTTGCTTTTTTGTTTGTTTTTGGTTTTTTGACAAGGTCTTGCTCCAAGGCTGCAGTGCAGTGGTGTGATCTCAGCTCACTGCAACCTCCACCTCCCAGGCTCAAGACATCCTCCCACCTCAGCCGCCCGAGTAGCGGGGACTACAGGCATGCGTCACCATGCCCAGCTAATTTTTGCATTTCTTGTAGAGACAGGGTTTCATCATGTTGCCCAGGCTGGCCTCGAACTCGTGAGTGGTCCTGAACTCAAGCAATCCGCCTGCCTCGGCCTTCCAAACTGCTGGGATTACAGGTATAAGCCACTGCACCCAGCCCAGAGTGATCTTTTGATCTACGTCAGATCATGACATTCTTATTTAAACCTTCCAGTGGCTACTCATCTCACCCAGCATAAAAACAAAAGTCCTGGTGGCTTCCACCTGTAATCCCAGCGCTTTGGGAGGCCGAGGTGGGTGGATCACTTGAGGTCAGGAGTTTGAGACCAGCCTGGTCAACATGGTGAAACCTGTCTCTACTAAAAATACAAACATTAGCTGGGTGTGGGGGCAGCCACCTGAAATCCCAGCTACTCCAGAGGCTGAGGCAGAAGAATCACTTAAATCTGGGAGGTAGAGTTTGCAATGAACCGAGATCATGCCATTGCACTCCAGCCTGGACAACAAGAGCGAAACTCCATCTTAAAAAGCCTCAAAATTGTTTAATCTGGCTGCCCACTATACTTCAGGCCTCACTTCCCAACACTCACCACCCAACTTATTCTGTACCAGCATCACTGGACTCTGTTGCACAAAGAATACATGGAGCAAGCTCCTAGATTAGGCCCCTGGCACTTCATGTTGCCTCTGCCTGGAACACTTTTCTTCCAGATATCTCCATTCAGGCTCCATGACTTCCTTCAGGTCTTTTCTCATATGTCAAGTTATCACTGAGGACCTCCCTGACCACCTTACATAAAATGTCAAGCCCTGGCCTCTATATTCTCTTATCCTACTTTATTTTTCTCAGAAGCACCATGTCTATCCATTATGTTATATATTTACTCATTAACTTGTCTTTCTCCACTAGAATCTAAGCTCCCTGAGGACAGGGATTTTATTGCTTTATGTTCACTGCTTTATTTCCCATGCCTAAAACAGTGTCCTAGCAGATAGCACATAATCAAATAATGTTGAATATAAGAAAAGGAACGCAGAAAAAAAGGGGAGAAGGTCTATTTTCCTCAACCTGAACAAACCATTTAACTTGTGGACACAAATTTTCCCGTCGTGTAAAATGTGAGGTTTGAACTTTTGAACCTCCAAAGAGTTCTAGCACTCTGCCACGCCATTATGGGGTGGTCACAGGTCATAGTTCACAAGGTTGTCCAATGGTCAGGATGGGCACACAATTTATAACAGCCTCAAAAATCCAAGTACTGATAACCTAACCTCCTTTCTCCTGACATTTTCAATACAACAGAAATCTGTGATATTTATTTCACTCTTCTCTGTGACAGAACCAAGACTCTTACTCCATTTCTCCCCATTAAGGAGTAAGGTATGGGTTTTACCATTTGGCCAGAAGCAATTGTCAAGGCCCAGATTCACAGCAAGTTTCCTTACCTCCACGGCAGTGGGCGGCTGGAACAAGGAGTGCCAGGACTGCTGTGGGCTCGTGGGTTCAGGAAAAAGGCAAGAGGAGAAGTAGCCAAAGCACAATCAGCACTAAATGGGACTTTAGTGAGGAAGAGGGCTGGAGCAGATGTGGGTGAAAACATGTGCTGGTTTACTTCAGCTCCTCGGCAAAGGGTAGAGATTCTGACAAGGTACCACAACATGAAAAAAACAAGGTCAGTGATTAACTTTTCAACCAAAAAGAAACATATTCAAAGTGGCTTGGTTTAGGCAAAAAGTTCAAGAAAAGTAAGTGGTCAAAAATCATTCTCCAATATCATACTTTAGTACCAATGTTGGTACAGGATGACAACAGAGACAAAAACTTAATCCATAAAATTAAAATACAACATTTAAGATTTGGCTACTCAACATATTTGTTATTTATTTATTTTTATTTTTATTTTTTGAGACGGAGTTTTGCTCTTGTTGCCCAGGCTGGAGTGCAATGGCACAATCTTGGCTCACTGCAATCTCCACCTCCTGGGTTCAAGTGATTCTCCTGCCTCAGCCTCCCAAGTAGCTGGGATTACAGACATGCACCACCACACCCAGCTGATTTTGTATTTTTAGTACAAACAGAGTTTCATCATGTTGGTCAGTCTGGTCTCAAACTCCTGACCTCCAGTGATCCACCCACCTAAGCCTCCCAAAGGTGCTGGGATTACAGATGTAAGCCACCACACCCAGCCAATTTAGAATTGGTTTCTGGGCAAACCAAACATTGCAAATTTACTACAACTCATCAATTAGCAGGCAACAGTTAATATTTAATGTTCAATGACTAAAACTTCCTAGAAAAATGTGTATGTCCCTAAGAGCAAAACATTCTGAATAGTTTATAAATTATTGATTATATCTACAATAATACTAATTTGTTTAGCTAACTTTTCTCTAATGAATATATCAGATAATGTCAGTTAACTATGTATTTTGCTTCCACTTAAATTTTAGATTCCCAGGTTATTTTTTCCCATAAAAAAAATCTAGCCATTTTGACATGTTAAGTCCTACTGAAGATTATTAAATAAGATCATTAGATTGAAAACAGGTGATAAATACAGATTTCTAATTTGCTACCATTAGTAGAAATTACCCATGATAAAAATAACAAAAATAATATTCATAATATTTAATTTGCTACCTTATTGGCATGGCTTTCTATAAACACACCATATTTAATTTCCAAGGTAAAAAAATTACTTAAGTATCACATAAGTACCTGATCTACTTCAAAATGATAACATTATTAGTTTCTTGTACTGTTATTTCTGACTGTTTATAATATGGATACAGTGACATTCAAAGGAAATCTTCACTTTCCTAGTCATTATCACTCTAGTGGTCTTCAATTTACTTCTCAGGTGGATACACAATATGGGGTCATAACAGGATAGAATATAGGAGGGCAAACAGCTATTTAAAATTATAGTTATGCCCATATTTCTACAAACTCAACATTTTTTTTAAAGTTAAAAGAAGTAAAAATGTTAATTTTAAGTTAATTTCTCCTTTTCAAAAAGAATTTTCACTCTTCCAAAGAACTATTTCAAAGTTAAGCTCCTTCATATATAAGTTAGAACCAATTAGAACATTAGACAGTACTTACTTGTTAACCTGAATAATACGCTTATACAAAATTTTGAAGCCTTAAGTCTTATCACATAAAATGAAGTTTAGCCATTTTGTTCAATATGTAATTGAAATTATAAAAATCTATGAAAGCCAAATTTCATTTTCTTTTTTTTTGAGACAGAGTCTCACTCTGTTGCCCAGGCGGGAGTACAGTGGCGTGATCTCGGCTCAGTGCAAGCTCCTCCTCCCGGGTTCATGTCATTCTCCTGCCTCAGCCTCCCGAGTAGCTGGGACTACAGGCGCCCGCCACCACGCCCAGCTAATATTTTGTATTTTTAGTACAGACAGGGTTTCACCGTGTTAGCCAGGATGGTCTCGATCTCCTGACCTCGTGATCCGCCCGTCTCGGCCTCCCAAAGTGCTGGGATTACAGGCATGATCCACCACGCCAGGCCGGCAAATTTTATTTTCTTTTTGCCCCTAATTACTACCCTGCAAACTGGTTATACAATGTGTCTAGAGTCTAAAAAAGATTGTTTGAAAAAGGAAAAGGTGATATACAAACTACTTATTAGCTCCTCAGGGGGTATTTTTCTAACTCAAAGTCAATAAAACAGATTCAATGATTACCAACAGCAGTGTACCAACATTTGAAAAGCATGATTTGCCAGGTATGGTAATCTCAGCACTTTTAAGAGGCTGAGGCAAGAGGATCACTTGAGCTCAGGAGTTCCAGACTAGCCTGAGCAACATAGAGAGACCTTATTTCTATAAAAAAAACTTAAAAATTAGCCAGGCTTGGTGGTGCATGCCTGTAGTCCCAGCTGCTGAGGTGGAAGGATCCCTTGGGCCCAGGAGGTCAAGGTTTAGTGAGCTATGACAGCACCACTGCACTCCCGCCAGGGCCATAAAGTAAGACACTCTCAAAAGCAAAAACAGAACCATGATTTTTGACCATTTAAGTTTTCTTAAACTACAAACTCCATTTAAAAAATTTTAATTTTGTTAACAAGTGACCTTTACTTTAAATAACACATTAGTTGATGAAGTCTGTTTTTAAATGGTCTTTTACTTTTGTGTCACTATGGGAATAAACGGTTTTTTTTTTTGAAGTGTGTCAATACTCCAACTATACACTTCAGAGACATCCTGTTTCTCAAGGTCTAATAGAATCATTAATTCAATCAATAAGCATCCATGGACACTGAAGGGCAACATCACAAAAGAAGCCCACTAAAGAAGCCTGTCTGTCTTGGGGCAAGCAGTTTGACTCAGGAAGAAAATCTGAAGTACACTCCCTTCACCCTATTAGTTAAACAAAGGCAGTTCAAGACAGATAATTGAGGTGAAATGGATTCTAGGTCTCTTCTTTCACTGGTTCTCTAATTTACTGATGAATTCACTTGGCACTTCTTCATTAAATAAGCCTGAGGTGCTCTTGGAAAAGTCACCCTGAAGAGGAAGTCTTCTTCCACTCCCAGCTTTGATATTCTCACCTAATAAAGTTTATTTCTATATTGGCCAATATAGAAATAAAATTCAGGTCACACCCTAAAGGACCCATGCTTGAATCTGCAAGGGCAGATCTGAGGTCCTGAGCTGACAGGCCATGGGCAGAAATACCCTCTCTAGTCAAAGGAGGAGGTACTTTTTGTTTCCATTGGTTTCTCACATTCATGGGGCTTGTATTTGCAGCTTCGACACTAACTTTAAATAAACATTTGCTTTCAAGGCAAGAAAATAATTGTCTTCATTTTTTTACTCAGTTCCCCAAGTATTCAGGAACCCCTAAAATGACATCTAACTCAGTTTCTGGAATTGGAAACCTCATATGCCCCTGCCAAGGACCACTGTTTTGACCTTGAATTAATCAAGCCAGCTCAGCCCTCTTCCTGACAGACATCTCCAAAACAGTCTTCATCCAAATAAACAAAGCTATGTTAGTTGGCATTAGTTTTTTTCCCTGACATCTGCCAGTTTCCATAGAGACCCCAGCCTCCTTACTGAATCCGCAGACATGGTGCTCCCAGTCTCTCTCGTCTCCGTTTCATCATTCTCCTGGCTACTCAAGTTTTGCCCTCACACTGGAGTCTTGGTAGGAAGTTCTCTCACACAAGGGGTATGCAGTTCTGTCAGCCAAAGGAAATTATAAAAGCTTCCCAAACTTACGGCAAAAATTAAAGTACTTTTCTCCAAAAACATGATCTTCAGAACACCCCTCCCCTCCCCTCACAAAAGACCTAAGAGCCCAGGAGGCAGCGGTGGGACAGTGGCAAGTTCCAGATCCCAAATGAATCAGCTGTCCTCTGATCTGCCTGACATCATTCACACTCAGCCAGCAACAAATCAGAGCTACAGAAAGCACCTTGTTCCTGCGTCAGTGACAAGCACCCTCCCCCACAAATCAGTTGCAACCTCCAACCCTGAGGCCTGGCAGCAGTCAAGACTCTGGCAGAAATTATACATAGCAAGTTGAAAACTCACACTGTGTCAGAAATACTATTAACCCAGAAGGCATGGGCCAAGCTAAACAGCTGTTGCAGTGGGCAAGGGACTGGAAGAAAGATCAAGGATCTCAAACTGGTAAAATAATGAGCTAAGACTATGTGGGTGTTTCTGCAACATTATTCATTCTCAAACCCAAGCCTGAAGGAAGACTACAGGGCTTTAATGTTTGGGCTCAAAGCAGTCATTATTCAAATGCTGAATCTGACCAATTTAACTAAACTGTATTCCTTCAGACAAAGTTCAGTGCCATTTTTTATTCAATTTCTATTACTCTCTAATCATTTGAATATACTTGTGGTAAGAAAAGCCATAAGGAAAGTTAATAAGCCCAGAAACTAACTTAATTTCATCCATTAATATTTAAGGTAAGTTGCAGAAGACCTCTATTGAAGGGTAAGCTAAGCATATTTCTGTATGCTTTGGTTTCTCCACCTGTAAAATGAAGATCATTAAGGTACCTAATATATAGGCTCCGGTGAGGATTAATATACGTAAACAGCAAAGTGCCTAGCACAGAGAAAGCACTATAGAAGTGTTAGCTATTACTGTAATTCTTGCCCTCTTGGAGCAATCTCCCAGTCTAAAGGAAGAGATCAGTCTCAACAAATAGGAAGTCATCTGAGAAAAAGAACCTAGACTCAAGAAAACCAAGTGATCAAGTAAACTGTGGAGCTAAACCCTGGCAGCTAAGAGAGCCAAAGAGAAGCAAGTCTTGTCCCCAGCTTCAGAGGCTCTGCCAACTCTGATGGGCTTCTCTCATTCACCTAGATGACAAAGTGTGTCAAACTGTTTTTTTCTAGGGTAATGTTCAAAGGACTAATTCATAGGCAAACCAGTGCTTTTTCAAATGCGGGTCACGCCTCTTTAGTAAGACATTATATCAATTTAGGAAGTCAGGATCAACATTTTCTAAAAAGGGAAACTACCTGCACACAAAAAGTACATATACAAATGAAATAGAATAGAAAAGAAAATATCAGAGTCCTTCGCATACCGTAGGGTAAGCACCGTTGTGAAATGTGTGTTTATGACATCCATTACTGAAATACATACAAATACACAAACGCAAACATATATGATGGGTCATAATGTAAACTCTATTTGTTATTGAGGTCAAGTCTAAAAAGTCTGAAAGCCACTGTTCTAATTACCCAAGCAAACTCACCCACCTAGTAGCTACAGGCCCTCACTTTTCCTCTCCATGTATTAGTCCAATTATTCAGCCCTCTCAGCACCCTCTTTTTTCAGAATCCCCAATTCAGTAGCAGGTCCTAAAGATAACTAGAACACCTCAGAAATCTAGCAGCTCTCAACAAGTACCGGCTCCCACTTTGGAAAGCCTTATGATAATATCAGGGTCAGCTGCCAAAAGCCCCAACCTTGATCTATCCTCCCGTCCCCAGCTAAGGCTTGCAGTTATGGCTGAACCCTAAGTTTCTACTCAATATTCTGCAATTCTCTAATACCCAAGACCAGGCTACATGATAATAATAATAATAATAATAATAATAACAATAATAATAATGACATAACAGCAACCAACATTTATTAAGTGCTTAACTATTTACTAGGTTCTATTCTAAGCATTTTACACATTAATACTCATGTAGTATTCATCATAGCCATATGATATATGTACTATTATTCCATTATTATTATTTTTTAAATTAGTATTATTTTTTAAAGACAGAGAGGTTAAGATCATACCAGTGGTAAGTAGGAAAGTAGCATTTCCTCAATATGTTGGTGCCTGGTTACCTACATATGAATTATACTAGCCAGAAATGTTCCTGTCTTCAGCCATGTTGGTAAACTGAAGCAGTCTAACTCTAGTTTCCAATGCTATAAATCACTGTGCTTTACCTTTCAGTAGAAAATTCTGACAACAGTAGCAAATGGATTTCTTTCTAGCCTGCTCTCAAGAGCAGTACTATTGCAGAGTAGTACTCCTTGGGTGGAGGAGAGACAGCATGGAGCTCCTTAAATAATGCTAAAGTGAGAAAATATTTGTTTGATTTTTAGAAAATGAAAGCCATATTTTACATCCTTTATCTGACCAAAGAAGATATTACTTTTACCTCCAGGTAACACATCCCCACACAGAGGACTTTCTTTAGTGGCATTAGAATCCATTTTTACCAATATTCCTGTGGCTTTGCCAGGACTAGGAAGGCCTAACATTTTCCTGGGACTGGTGACAGGGCTCAACAATTTGCAGTATGGCAAAAGAAACATCTGCCTTCTCTTATTTATTCATACATTTATTTATTAACTGTAGAGCCAGGGAAGAAAGGCCTCTGCTATGGGCTTCTTACTTTAGAGATCCTGCAAAATAACACAAACACAAAAAACAAATTCATTAAAGAAATGGGGTTTCCTCTGTCACAAGATTCTGCACTGGCAAAGCGGAACCCTAAAAATCCATTCTTGTAAATTGTACAGTTCAGACCACAGGAAAACTTCTGTCCACATATTTCTTCCCACGTCCTTTAAAAAAGAGGCAACTATGTCAGAATGCCATTTATGGGTTGTGAAACCGCAAACTTCAAGAGAACTCTGCCTGAGATTATGGAATATCTGAGCAGCACAGGGTGTCAGAAATAAAAGACAAGACAAATTAACTGTTATATCCTTCCTGTCAAATAACATGAATATCATAGATACCTTTCCTAAGAAGGTATTGTCTCCTAACAGAGTCAAACATCCATTTATTTGATTTCTTCCTGTTCCAATTCACGGTTCTGAAGGTACTCACAAGTTAGCTCATCATTCCTAGCAGTATCACACAGCAACTGAGGAACATTTTGCAGAATTAAGGAATTCATATTACTAGTAAATGTATTTATATGCAGGTCTAGAAATGACATATATAAGGCAAGGAACCAATTTATTACACTGATTAATGGTTGAACAATTAATGCCAGAATTACAATTTATTTTTATAAAAATATGTACTTACAAAAAATTTTAATTCAGCTTATTTAATTTTGAATATTTAAAAGAGAAACAACTTAAAATAATAAAAAATTTCCATTTTTTACACTTTATATTTTTGATGAGAATATATTCAAACTTTGTACTCTGCGAATATAATGATGTCTTATTTTTAAATCCTACGGATCACTGAAAATGAGTACAAGTTGTGATCCCAACATACACAGAAAAATAAGAAAGTGGAGCTTAGAGGAGGAAAAAAAGAAAATCTACAAATAAGCTAGTCTTAAATTTGGGGGAAAAAACTGCACACAAAAAGTACGTACACAATTACTACCACTGAAGATTGAAAACAGAAAATAAACCAGAGTATTCAAAAAAGCCAAGTAGCCAGGCACGGTGGCTCATGCCTGTAATCCCAGCACTTTGGGAGGCTGAGGCAGGCAGATCTCTTGAGCCCAGGAATTCGAGACCAGCCTGGCTAACATGGTGAAACCCTGTCTCTACTAAAAATACAAAAATTAGCAGGGCATTGTGGTGTGCACCTGTAATCCCAGCTACTTGGGAGGCTGAGGCAGGAGAATTGCTTGAACCCAGGAGGCAGAGGTTGCAGGGAGCCGAGATGGTACCACTGCACTCCAGCCTGGGCAACAGAGTGAGACTGTCTTCAAAAAAGAAAAGAAAGGGCTGGGTGGGGTAGCTCATGCCTGTAATCCCAGCACTCTGGGAGGCCAAGGTGGGCAGATCACGCGGTCAAGAGATCGAGACCATCCTGGCCAACATGGTGAACCCCCATCTCTATTGAAAATACAAAAATTAGCTGGGTGTAGTGACACACGCCTGTAGTCCTAGCTACTTGGCAGGCTGAGGTAGAAGAATCGCTTGAACCCAGGAGAGGGAGGATGCAGTGAATTGATGATTGCGCCACTGCACTCCAGCCTGGTGACAGACGCTATCTCCAAAAAGAAGGGGGAAAAAAAAAAAAAAGACAAATAAATAGCAATACAGAATGATGATGTGATTGTTCTTAAGACAGTAATATTATCTATACAATATTTAGCCAGATTCCCCTCTCCCCCGATGGTTTAAAAAGCCACAGAAAACAATGGAAAACTTACAGGTTTAACATAAATGATTCTGAAAAGTAATGCTAAAACGGCTGCACATATAAGATAGATTTTTAAAATGATAAAACGAACAGGCACTGGCTATGATAAAGCCTTAAATGAAACTATTTATTTAACTGGTAACAAAGTGAGAAAAAGATACCTAACTTTTTTTAAGTAAATATTATTCAGTTCTATAGATTATAACAGGGACAAATGTCATGTTAAACAACAAACTTTATATACTGTCGAGTTACCTAAATAAGAAAATGAGAAAGTAGAAATAAATGAGAATTTCATAGCTTTACATATGGTGTAAAAAGTACAGACTTCATCTTCAGTGAGAATTAAGGAAAAAAACTTTTGATTTTAGGCAGGGACCTAAAGACTGGCAAACTTCCACCTGTAACTATGACATTACTGAAACAGAACTAGCCATTCTACTACAAATCACTTAAGAACAGACAAAATATACGATGTAATAGTTTTCAGGCACCAGGAAACATGTAATGTAAGAATGAAAACCCAGAAAGAAGGGAAACTCAAAAGTCAGGCTGCTCCCTCCTCAGTTGCCTAGCAGCAATTTTCTTACAATGGCACAGACAGCTAGTGTTCAAGCAGAGCACAGTAGTTCCACTAAGCTGAGGCGGCACGGGGTAGAGTTCAGGGAAGCTTGAGCAGACACTGCACATTCATCAAGAAAGACCACATGCTAGGCCACAAAAAAAAGTCTCAAGAAATTTCAGACTATTGAAATTCCATAAATTATGCTGCCTAACCACAACAGAATTAAATTAGAAATCAACTACAATAAGACATAAAATCCTCCAATATTTGGAAACGAAACCACATATTTCTAAATAGTCTATTGGTCAAAGATGAAATGACAAAGAAAATTAGAAAATGTTTAGAATTACACTATAATAAAGACACACACACCAAATTATAGAATACAGTTAAACAAGTGTTTAGAGGCACATATATTGCTTTAAATGCTCATATCCAAAAAGGAAGACCTGAAATCACTAATCCATACCTCTGCATTAAAAACGTTAAAAAGTCCAGGGAGGGATAGCATTAGGAGAAATACCTAATGTAGATTATGGGTTGATGGGTGCAGCAAATCATCATGGCATGTGTACACCTATGTAACAAACCTGCATGTTCTGCACATGTATCCCAGAACTTAAAGTATAATAAAAAACAATTTAAAAAAAACTTAAAACAGTAAATTAAATTCAAAATATAATAAAGCAGAAATTAGTAACAGAAAATAGAAAAAAAAAAACCCAAAAATTGGTTCTTTGAAAATATTAATAAAACCCTAGTAACAGACATTAAGAAGAAAAGGAAAGAAAACATAAGTCATCAATATCAGGAATAAAAGATGAGTTATCACAACCAATCTAAAGACAGTAAAATAATAATAAGAGAATAGCAGGAACAATTTATGCCAATAAATTCTATAACCTATTTAAAATAGACAAAAAGTTCAAAAAATAACTTACCAAAACTGACTTTAATATAGATGTGCATTATGCTAAGTGATATAAGCCAGACACAAATGGACAATACTATATAATTCTATTGATATGAAGCGTTTAGAAGAGGCAAATGCATAGAGAAAGAAAGTAGAACAGAGACTGCCAAGGCCTGGGAGAAGGGAAGAAGGATGTTATTGCTTAATGGGCACAGAGTTTCTACCTGGGACCATGGAAAAGTTTTAGAAATAGATGGTGACAACAGTTGCATGACACTGTGAGTATACTTAATGTCATTACATTGTATACTTAAAAATGGTTAAAAGGGTGGAGGCTGAGGCATGAAAATCGCTTGAACTCGGGAAGCAGAGGCTGCAGTAAGCCGAGATCGCGCCACTGCACTCCAGCCTGGGTGATGACAGCAAGACTCTGTCCCAAAAAAAAAAAAAAAAAAAGTTAAAATGGCAAATTTTGTTATACGTACCTTGCCACAATTTTTAAGACTTTAAAGAAATTAATTCAAAAGGAGTTAAGATTCAAACAGAAAGGCTAAAATTACAAACTTCTAGAAGAAAACAATGGAGAAAATCTTCATGATCTTGGGATGGGCACAGATTTCTTAAACAGAATATGAGTGAGTACTAACTAAAAAAACTCACAAAGTAAAGAACATCAAAATTAAGACCTTCTGCTCTTTGAAAGACATCCTTCCAAAAAGGAAAAGGCAAGCTGGGGAAAATAAGTCACAATATATACAGTCATGCATCGCTTAACAACAGAGATACCTTCTGGGAAATGCATTGTTAGGTGATTTCATCATTATGTGAACGTCATGGAGTATACTTATATGAACCTAGATGGTATAGCCTACCACACACATAGGCTATACAGTATTGTACAGCCTATAGATTGCTTCCAGGCTGCAAACCTGTATAGCATGTTACTGCATTGAATACTGTAAGCAACTGT